TTAAAACATGATCCTGGGACCTACACACAGACATTCCAACTGCCTTGTGGGGGGGGGGGGAGTATGAGGTGTGGAATGGAGTGAAGTCCAATCAGCTTCCATATGCAAAAGACCTTGAAGGTTCCATATGCAACTGACATTCCAACTGCCTTGCGGGGAGGGGGGTGAGTTTGAGGTGTGGAATGCAGTGAAGTCCAATCAGCTTCCATATGCAAAAGACCTTGAAACACTGGGCGGGACTGCACAAAGCAGCCAGTCAACCCAGCCAGCGTCTTCTGACTGACAGTTCAAGCGTCCATACACTAAAGGAGTGCATTTTAGAACTTTGGCACCCACTACTCAATTATATATAAGGAGAGATAACCACAGCCTCATTCAAGTTTTTTTTAGTGACAAGGTGGGATAAAAGCTAAAACACTAAACTAATTTGTTTTTGTCTACCAATGTTTAAACATAAGCCAATGTTGGCACTTCATGAATTCAAAATCTTACTGCTCCACCCTGTTTGGTATAAAGTTTTGGCATGCACCATCTAATTTATTAGTGTTTGGGTGTGTAATGTGTTTAAGTGCAGGTTGGGAATGCCAGAGTGAGCAGGAAATACCTGAAGGGGGTACTGGTACAGGGAGGGGGGAAAATGAGAAGCAAAACAATGAGGAGGGCTGATCTGGAGATAGCCCAAGAAAGATAGCCATTCTGCAGATGACTACTTTGTGTTGGTTAAATGTACCTAAGCCGCAAATACTGAACACAGGTGCTGGCTTTCAACATCTCTATTAGATCGACACATTTATAAGGAGAATATACTTACAGGGTACGCAGAGAAGTTAGACCCTGGAATACCTCTTCTTTGATTTCCTCAATTCCATTATGCTGCAGATATCTGAAATGTGACATGGACATTTCAGACATGACATTTCTCATTATATAATATTCTATTATGTCAGAACAAACCCTACATCAACTGTGTTAGCTACTGGAGGAGTCAAGACAAAAAAAAGTCCAAGAGAAAGAGTTCAAGAGAAACAATCTGAGGTAAAGCAGAGGTAAACTAGTATGCTTTCTACTCCCAAGCTCAAAAAAGATGGCAAGAATCATCATAGAAAGCATGGGAAGGTACCACTTATATAACTCTAACAGCACCACTTGAAGACAACCAACAACTGTACACACATTCAGATGACAGATGGCAGTAAGACAATTAAGAGTGAAGGACTATAGCAATAGAACACCAGGATCTAGATGTTGCATCAGGCAGGTATCAAGAGAGGCAAAGATGACGTGAGATTGAGATAAATATCAGAAGGCATATACAATTAGGCATGATGGTAGACAGATGGTAGAATGAAGAACAATAAAGGCAGAAGAGGATTTGAAAGCCATCACTGCTCTGGAATGGGAAGCTTGCAGTAAACACAATCACAAAATATTAGCTTTGAGTGTAATCTCATGCTGATATACTCGCTACAAGTTGTAGACAAACTCTGGTTTCTCTTAATTTTGCAGCACAGATATGGGGATAGGGGTCAGATTATTGGGTGTCCTTTTTAAAAAAAACTTACATTTCTTCCAAGGAACTGCAGCCTTTAAAACTTGGAAGCTGTTTTATGCTGTTATAAGATAAATCCCTGGAAAGGCAAGGAGAAAAGAAAAGGAATGGTTAATTTTATTTTACTGTTTTATATGAAGATTACTGATTCTAATTCAGGTTCATAAATACAAGTACATCCCTCCCACACCCCAAACTATTTTTGCCTACAGTTTCCCCCAAGAAGCAGAGGCATTCACAGCAGCAAGGGAACATCTGTATGGTAATTTTCCCCACACCTTTTCTCTCTCACTCCCATAGCTGCCATTCCTCCACCCTGTGCCACTGTAGAGCTTGGGGGGGGGGGTGTTTCTGAAAATAATCAGTAATTGACACATTAGTATCACGTGGCAGAGAGGGGCTGTGGCTCAGTGGTAAAGCATCTGCTTGGCATGCAGTTAGTCCCAGATTCAATCTCCAGCAACTCCCGTTCAAAGGATTGGGTATTAGATGATTTAAAAAACCTCCCTTGGAAATTCTGGAGAGTCACTGCCAGACAGAGTAGACAATACTGACCTTGATAGTTTGACCATTAATCTTACTTTTAATAGTCATATAATGATCTCTCTATTGTTCCTCTGAATTTCCAGTTTTTGTTTGTTACAAAAATAATTATCTATCCCCTTTCATTGTGGAGCTATAAGGGAGGAAAGCAAGGACTAATTACATTTTACAAAAAGTGAAAACTGGAAATTCATAGGGACCAGAAGACAGATCATTATAACTATAATGTTATAGTGATCTGTAAATGGGTTCTTTTTAAAAAGAAAACACTCCACTGGAGGAGGGACATAACAGCTGGAGGGGGGCTAAGAAAGGAAAATGACACTGATGTGGGAACAAAAGTGCACATTTTTATCCACACAGAATACAAACATGCTTTGACTGCAGTCTTTCCAAAAAGATCATACAAGCCAGCTTTGGGAAAGACTGCAGCAAAGCAGGGGAAAACATGGACAGTAGAAAATTAGGGGATGTTGTCATGTGGATGCTCCAAAAAAAACTTGCTCTGGTTTACATGCCAAACTGGAAATCTGTGTAGAAGCAGCCAGTTTTTTACAAATGCAATAGTAGTTAAACAAGACATTCTTCTGTAAAAGCTCTTTCTGCATGGAACTCATGTCTCTCCCTGCATATAAAACAATGTTGCAGGAGATACCATTTTAACTGCTCTCATTTGCAAATGTAAAGAATGGGAGGAAGTGATGGAAAGAAAAGGACACTGCAAACATCTTTGGTGGTTCAGATTTTGTGATAGGTGATGAAACCCTTCAACAGAAGGACAGAGTTGAATAACTGTTGCAGATAGGGGAAAGAAGTAGGAAACACTCAACAAAAAAGACATATTCCAAAGGTCATCAGCACATTAACCAGGTGTTTCCATTTCAAGTTTCCTGGCAGAAGGTAACATTATTGGGATGGTGTTTCCTGCAGTATAGAGGTACATGGGCCAGTCCAAGAACACTCACTTGTTGAGAGGAAAAGTATCATGGTGGAAATGACTGGCCTGTTTATTATTTTAAACTGACCTGACTTCCGAAGCTGGCTAAACAAGCTCAGCCAGCACAGGTAGTATAATGTGCTCTTTATATCCCAGGAAAAAGCCAAAGCAACACATCACCTAAAACTGAGTTCTATCCTCTGTTACAAACACATTGTATGCTGTTTCAGAGATTTTTATTTATAGTACAAGAAGAAGAATGTGAAGATTTCTACTTACAAAGTTCGAAGCATCTTTTGCTCCTGGCAGAGATCGATGGGAATGCTGTTAATTTTGGTGCCTGTAAAAGTCCTGTTTCATAAAACATAGGCATTCTAGTGAATATTGATAGCACTGCATTAGCAAAATCAGAATTTATCAAATCTAAAAAGCTGGGAATCCCTTGGACAGTGCAAAGGGTCCTTTCTAATTTAGGTGTGCCTTTAAACTGATGCCCTAGGATTGTTGACTTGTCAGAATCTAAAACTGTCATACGGCGATGATTTAAATGAACGTTTGAGCCAATTTCCCTCCTCAGCTTCAGCCAAAACAATGCACATATTCCATAGCCATAGAAAGAACCACCCCTTTCTCATCCTCTAGTTACAGAATTTACTAAACTCAGGGGCACAAGATAAAATGAGATCTTGCAATTGTACAACAGAATTTTTGTCATCTGTAGAAATTCTTCCCTTGAAAGTGTCTGCAGAGGAAAGTATTTTTGTTAATTTATTATTTCTCACTGGAAGAATTCAACACAAGGTACTCACAGACTCTCCAGATTAGTGGTCCCTGTTAAGTTAGGAAATGACTGGACCATGCTGGCCCCACGAATGACACTACAGAAGAAAAAGAAAAACAACACAAATATGCATTCCTGGCAGAAAGACAGACAAGTGTTAAGGAAAGGGGGTTTTCATTAGAGGTCTATGCTGATCCGATTCTTTATTTTCTCCGTTGAGATTTACATATGCCAGATTTTAAGGATATTTGGATCACACCTTGAAGTATAAACATGCTTAATAAAAATACTGTAAAATGTGAAAGATTGCTCAATGCGTTTGTTATTTGCTGAGGATGTTTGGTATTTGGATTCCTGCTAGTACGCTAATACTCCACAGATGGTACTATGGCTCATTTCCAGGATTACTTTGACACCACCACCCCCGAAGTCAAGTCACTGATGGTTATTATAAAAAGTGCCAATATAGTATTTCCTATGTATTTTACTCTTATTGAAGGCCTATTACAGCCTTTGTAGGTAACTAACAATGCAATCAGAAAGATAAACGTATCTATTATTTTTCAGTACAGGGGACAGAGAACAACCTACAAAGATCGCACAGTGCTTCTAGAGAACTATAACAACATTTTTTTAACTGGGTATTTCCAAGTAAAACATCAAAATCTGTTACTCTAGGATTAGGTGAAACAATGAGAGTACCCTAACCAAGATATCAGTTTTATTCCAAGTTGGAGTCATCCTGACATACAGATAACACATTGTGAATGGAACACATTTTTTCAGCGCAGTTAAGATTCAGAAGAGTTTGTTTTATCAAACCTCCCAGCCTTATAGTTTTAAAGGGTGTGTGCACTTAGAGGAGCTTATGTAAACATATCAGAATATATGACCCATTAGCTTCTTCTGGGTATTGCAAAAGAAAACCCCACAATAAGGGAAAGAAGACATGCTTCACAAGTAGCACAAGAAAAACAGCAGAGAGGGCACCTAATTCTGTTGATTTTTTTTTACATGCTGTTTTTCTGAGGCTGCTAGAACATATACAGTTGCCACTTGTATTTTAATGATATCTGTTTTACTGTTGCTGTATCAGTATGTAATTATTTTCTCCTGTTATTTCAGTAGTTTATTGTCTTCATTGTCTAGAAGCTCCTTTGGCAGACAGGAAGAAATGAAAATGACTGAAATACATATGATTTTAAAATTTATTATTGAAAAAAAGAGTGGGGTATTGACAATGGAGTTACAACAACAAAGTCAAATGAAGTAAAGACAAGGCCAGTCAGAGATATATGTCTAGGTGATAGAGGTAGCAAGCAGTTACTAGATCAGTTTGATCTGTTTGACAGTCCTAACTGTCATGCTAGTGATTAAGCAATTACAGCCAGGTGTTATACTAGCAGGTGTTCTCTATCAGGCATTGTTAGAGTCGGTAATTAATTCACCTTGTTAGTGATTGGCTGGGTTTAGTATATTAGCTATCAGCTTGATAAGGGGGGGGGGGGGACTTAGTCTCTCAAACTAAGGCACGGTATGCTGTATGATAGCCTGTATATCTCTGTGTATATATTCACCATTATATCTATATAAACTTTCTATGCACCTTCATCACCAGTTGATCTCCAGCTTCTTATTTACTACACCCAATAAAAAATACAAGCGTAGGTGTAGTTATTGTAATATAGAGACACATTCTTGTAGGAGCAGAGAGGATGGGAGTTTACCAAGGATCTTTACTGGCTACAACAGATGAGCTTCAGGCAGTAGGTTTGGCAATAAACTATTACATGTACTTTGGCGTGTCCATCATATGATTGAATCCTAATTAACTACATTAGGAGTTCCTGGAATGGAGATCCTAGCACTTCCTTTCTGAAAAATGGCAGGGGTGTGAAAATCCACTTTCGCTCAAAACTGTGCTATGAGAGAAAAGCCACTTTACACCTTTATTGGCACCATTTTCCCTGACTGAAAGAGCCCTGTGAAATTCCTATTGGCCCTACTGGGACAATCACACAGATAGCCATATGAGTACCTGCATCCTTCCCCCATCAGGGTAAAAAAATACCATGGAAGGGGTATTTCAGGTTGGGGAAATGGTGAATGTGTGTAGAGGGGAAAGAAACTTACCCCGTTCCTGTCTTGAAGTTCTAATCCAAATATAGTAATAACATGTGCACATTACGATGTAAATGGAGACCCAAAAGGAACTCACAGGAGGGACAAATTCCACCCCCATTCATCCCTGCTTCCTCCAGTGCAGCTTCTTTCTGCTCCTCCCCCTGCTTTTTACCCCTTTCCCCCCCTTCTTCCCTGCTGTCTCCTTTCTCACTCACAGCACTGCTGATGCTTACATAGCAGTGGCATCTCTGTCCTCTCTCCATCACCTCCTCTGCCACCTTCATAGTCACTGCCTTGCTCCTTAGCAGTGGCAGCTGTGGTTTGCCCTCCTGACTGGCTGCCTGACTTGCCTGGCAGAGGTGCATTCCTGCGATCTTTGTATGAACGCGGTGGTTGCTAATCAACCCTTGTATGAGAGTGGAGATGTCATTCCATAGCGTTGTGAGATCTCAGTTTTCTGTCCCGATAAGGTAAGATTTTTAAACTTCCAAAAATTCCTCCAGCTTTTTTTTTTAAAATAATTTTTGTACAAACCCGGGGGCTGTCCCAAGTTGTAGAAAAAGGGCAGCAAGCAACTGCAGAAAGGAAAAGCAAAAAAGCTGGGGGGGGGGGGGGGGGAGAACTTCAGAAGTTGGCAACAGGCTGTCGACCAGGGTAAAGGCTCTGGAAGATGTCCTAGGAAGCAGACCCCTGATGGCAGTACTAATAATACTTTTCCCCACTTTACCACACTATTGGTGCAGATGCTATCCATGTAGCTCATATGAGCTGTGTTTATCTGAGTGCCCTCTTGTTTACTGCACTTGATTTTAAATTTACAATAATGTTTATCATACTTATGTAACAAATTGTATGGGCCATTGTTTAATCATAATTTATACATTCAAAGGAGCGCTCTTGTTTTGTGTTTTTTCTGGTTTTACAAGAGTAAACAAAATGCTCAGCTACTCCCCCATAATAATTTCCCTGTGACAACTAAGCCAACCAGAAACCTGGAACCAAGGCTTGCTCTCTTCAAGAATTAACTAGTCTTAGTTATGGGGATATAACAAACCCGCAGTCCTACCAAGTAAATATATGTGTTTATATTGGGCGTCAGACCCGACTAGTACAATTAAAGCTTTTATAGTTAATATACCATGGAGTAGCTAGAATATAAAAAATATTTTAGACTTCTTTGTAAAAGTACTTACAGGGAATGCAGATCTGATAAGTTCTGAAAAGCTGAGTTCCCAACAAAGGACAAAGGATTATCATACAGATGTCTGAAAAACAAAAATTAGACAAGTTGTCTCAATTTACAGAATTACTTCTGGATCCATTAATCTAGATGGAAGTGTAAGTACACTGCATAAAAACTTACATAGTTCTCAGAAGTGGATTTCCAACAAATGCACTGTCAGGGATCATGGTGATATAATTACTGTGAAATCCTCTTTAGGAAAAAGAAAAGATAGGAAAAATTCTCATTGTTAAATGCAATATTTAATACAGTATCAAATCCTATGAAAAATTAAGTGTTGCTACAACCACAGGAATTTGGGGGAAGGGCATTATGTACTATTTAACATGCCAGTTCAATCAAAGGGCACCACTACATAGCCATGGGAGATCAGAAAGGCCCTATGAAATAGCCAGAGCTGGAGTGGTGGGAGAGGGGAGATCTCCAGCTATGGGATGGGGGGGGGAGAAAAACAGCTCCTGCCTGCCCACCCCCATTCCCCACTGTCTCCTAACAAGTCTGTGGGGTGGAATAGTGGGGGCTCACTGGCATTGCACTAACACACAAAGTCACTTCAGGCAAAAAAACAGGTGTGATGTCATTGCACCAGGTGGGTTGACAGCTATGGTTGCCATCCTTAGCCTAAGCACCAAAACTGGAGAACACCTGATACCATATTTATGTTGCTTTTTAAATGGAGAACTAGATGGGCTACTGCTTGCATGTTTTCATTGTTTTCTCATAAGCAAGTAATCCAGAGACTTCCATTTAAAATATAAACTGAATATTTGGGGGGGGGGATCAAAAAGAAAGTTTTGGCAATGTAACAACTAGCAGGTCCTTCGTTTACATCTGATGAATTGGCTTTATGAAAATTCATGCCATGGTAAAACAGTTCAGTGTTTAAGCAGTTCTTTGTGTTTGCTGCAACAGACTATTGCTCAGATATTTAGTAAAAAGCACCTGGAATATTCCCCTGCCCTGATAAGCCATTGTTGAGCACTAGGCACATTAAGGCATTATAGAAATAACTGACTCCAGATACTGTTATTCACACTGAACAGCACAACTGATTAGGAAATGGAGAATTAGGGAGCAATACTAAGCAGGACTACTCAGAATCTTACTTTTAGGACTGTACTGTTAAGAACAGAATTACGTTCCGTCGAATACAAATACAACACCAAAACTGCTCAGTCTAGATAAACAGATTCTAAATTATTTATCTATAAAAGCAAAGACTTTCCCCCAAAAAAATAAGAGGAGGAGGAGACTGGATTTATACCACACCCTTCACTACCTGAAGGAGTCTCAGAGCAGCTAACAATCTCCTTTCCCTTCCCCTCCCCACAACAGACACCCTGTGAGATAAGTGGAGCTGAGAGAGCTCTTTTGAGAACTGCTCGTGAGAGAACAGCTCTGAGAGAACTGTGACTGACCCAAGGTCACACCAGCAGCTGCATGTGGAGGAGTGGGGAATCAAACCCGGTTCTCCCAGACTAGAGTCCATGCTCTTAACCACCACACCAAACAATTACACCCTCTTTAATTAGGATTCTGCTTAGGACAACAGTCCATTCTAGACCCAAAAAAGTACATAACTAAGTTAATTCATTAGAAAAAGCCAAAATAAGAATAATCAGCTTTATCAGGAACAGACAAAACTCAGAAAACAAGAAGCCTCGAAAGCTTGCCCATGGTTTTGTGATTTATAATTAGTCCTAATAAAAGATACTACTCCTCTTTGAATTTAATTCATTTCAGATCACCAAATATTACAGCTTAATATTCCTAAATCCCTAATTTATGGTCACTAAATAGAAAAAAGTGATAAAAACATCCAGTAGTACTTACAACTCCTTTAGGCTTGGAAGTGTTTTTATGGCTTTAGGAAACTCTACCATGCTGTTATAGTTTAAATCCCTGTAAAGAACAATGCACTGCTCAGTAATCACACTATTTTTCAACAACACAAGTATGAGCCAAAATTCTATAAACAGTTTAAAGTATAATTAGTTAGAATTTTCAATATGAAATTAGGTCAACACCAGAGATTATGCCAGAAGAAATATAGGTCAACATTTTACAGGGTTGGGTCCTACAAACATCGGCACAAGATGCTCAAGGATGCTACTCTCTAGCCTTCCTCTTTCCACAGCACCTCTTGAGGAGTTTATAACAGGAGCTCAGAAGGGAAAAAGCTCTGTAACTTTCCACCAGATGTTTTGGTTTTCCAGGTTTCAGAATAGAAACTATCTTTGCTTTCTTAAATTCCCCTGGGAGTCTTCCTGCTCTCATGATGTCAGTGAAAAACTATGCAAGCCACTTCTTAGTGAACGTGCCACTGTTGGCCAGAAACCTATTATGGATGCAGTCAAAGCCTGGTGCCTTTCTGCTCTTGATGTCCTTCAGTGCCTTGGAAATCTCATCAGCACTGAAATTCCCTGACAGCTTGCAGTCTTCAGGGCAGGTGCGTTTCAAAATCTGAAGTTCTTTTTTTATACTAATTGTAAAATCTTGATCCACAGTATTTAAAATAAGCCTCTCCAAGTACTTAGGCCTCATTCACACTTACTTCTAAAACCTAGTTACCATCATCCCCCTGTCACCAAAGCAAGTGTGAACCTTGTGTTCCTGTGTTCCCTTACTAACCAACTCATGTACATACCGTCCAGCTATTTAGCAGGAATATGTAGGCACAAGCTATTTCCCAAGACTTTTGATTGTGGGAAACACAGTATTTGTGGGTCAGAATTCTCCCCTATATTCTATAATATTGTCTATATCCAATCCAGTACCTCAACCATTATTCTGTTCTTACCCCTTAATGCATTACTACAAAGGGATTCTTAATATCTTCCCTTTTATACCTTCTCTTTCTGCCTGTCCTTCTTTGTATCAAAAAACAGGGAAAGGAATAAAAAAGCAACTCAGTCTAAGAACTGACAAGGATGCAAATAGAGCCCCTTGAACCCAGGAATCTCGTCTACTGCTGCTACACAAGTTCTACCCACAAAGAACAATTTGGGAAAGAAAGGCAAATCATGTTGTGACCAGAGCACTGAACAACAAAACATTTGTATATGTAAGTAATTATAGCTAATCACCATAACTATAAAGCTACATAAAATCTTTAAGTCTTAACTGTAAACTAAATTTAATAGCATCAGTTCTTTTGCAAATGCTCTATCCAATTAGGGATCCCCAAAGGAGGAATACTTACAAAGTTTCCAGGTTGTTTAAGCCATCAAAACAATGATGTCCCAATGTTTTTATTTTATTGTTATGGAGATGCCTGGGGGAAAAAATCTATTTAGAAACAAAAAATCATCCTGTACAAACTAAGTCTTCAAAACAACACTTTGCTTAGTGGTTAAAATGTACAATAGTCATATGGCATATCTGAGGCTGGTGGATTGCTAGTCCTCACGTCCCATTTTACCACTGAACAAGAGAAGCACTTGTTCAGTGCAGGAACTGGCCAACTAGCTGTGTCAGGAACCACCCGCCATTTTTGCATATAACAAAGGAACTCTCTAAGAGCTGACGTAGCTTGTCCTCAGATTATGGCCAAAGCAATGGAAGACTGTTTTTTGTCTTTAAAATGGACATTAACAGACCCTTGCCTACTCTACCTATAGCTTAATGATGTCTACTCTTACTGATAGTGGCTCTTGAGCAGAGACACTGTTTCCCCAAACCTGCTACAGATATCCATTTATCTGATGATATTAGAGACAGAACCTGCAAAGAAGATGCTCTGTCATGACCCTTCTGTAATCACAATTTGAATTTCACATAAATTCATTCAGAACTGCATACTCTGCTTCCAAGCTTATCACCGTAACCCTCTTCCAACCTGACACTACTTGAGATGATAGAAAAGGACCATTTTTTTACTACCCTACCTCTGGATGCCAGAACAAAAAGGCCTTGAATGCTGCAATCCCTTGAATGTCATACAAACAAAGATCAAGAGCATGCCACTTGCAGACTTGGGCTCCTTATTCTACAGGTGGAATCAGGATTCTTATCATCGTTCTGGATGCAGTCTTCCATGCACCAAAAGGTGTTGCACAAAGAAAGGCAAGCATCCATCTCCTAGGAGACTGCATGAATAGTTTTTACATCATGTATGTGCTAATTATGAACAATGAGAGGGGATGGAGGACTATATTTCAAGGCAGTCCTCTCATGCAAGCAGGTGCTTGGTGCTGTCAAAGCTGATTTTGGCAGCCTCTGCCTCAGCAGTAACATTCTCACACACAGCAGCCCTCTTACTATGTTTGACAATCTCAATCAAGACCACATTCACACGTTTTAACTTTGCTTGCAGCATTTTTTTCTACTCTGAAATCCTGTGCAAACCCAACATATTCTAGAATTCTGAACTATCCAATGAGATAATCAGCGACAAAGACTTACAGGACAACAAGACTTGAAAGGTTGGTAAATGCAAAGTCAGGAATGCTGGTAATTTTATTGAGAGCCAAGGTTAAGGCCTGCAGGGATAGAAGGTTGCTGAGTGGAACAACCGGGACTTCAGTCAAGCTGTTATCATCTAGCCACAGGTGGCGCAGCTGAACCAGGCCCTCAAAACTGTCTTCTGGAACAGCAGTAATGTGGTTAGCATCTAAGCGCCTAAAAAGAAACAATATGATTATCAACATAAATGAAACCCACTCTTATACTGGGGGAGGGGGGGAATAAAAAATCGGAAAGGTTAGCATCCAAAAATTACAGAAGGATCAGTAGGAACTGAGAGTAACTTATGATGAGTTAAATGAACAACTCTGTAACTCAAAAGAAAAGCAGTGAAGTTATGTACTCAGGGCAAGCTGCCAATCAGCTGGTATGCTCATGCTCTAACACACCTAGAAATTACAAACAGGTTCTAGCACAACTATGTGGTGAGAGGCTACATTTAAGTGTATGCTATTGAAGGCCACCTCCAGTAATGATTCACCTTTTCCCCACAGGAAAGCAAAAGCCTAACCAGGCAGGTCAATACAGTCAGAGTATGAAAAGGGATGCAGTTACTCAGGAGGCAGATTAACCCTAGGGTCAAAGGGGAGGGGGGATATAGCGCAAGCATAGGGTCCCAAGCTTTTCTTTGATGAAATGTAATCTTAAACTGACTTTCATTATTAGAAGTAATACAAATTAGGAACCTGTGAAGAATTATAGGAGGGTGAACAATTTGGAAATCTCCTCTATCACCTCCCCTTTCTCAATTCTATAAACTCTCAGGGAGGTGAACAGACTAGTTTTCTGCTCTCTCCCCTCTAACTAGCAACATTCTGTGTTTCTTGGAGCACATTCAGTTCTCTTCAGGCCACTGGGGGGAAACTGCCTTTTTCTTTTGATCAATTTACAAAGCAATATTTCCCCGTGTTCCTTGGGATTTCCCCAACATTTGCAGACCCTTCTTTTGTAGCTGTCTTGGTTTTGTTGCTCTCAGGATTAGTATGGAAGGATCAGGTCTAAAACAACTATAATCATATGTTTTGTACAAAAATTTTTTTCCTCATGTTATATAGGTTCACTACATTTTCATGAACATTATTCCTACGGCATCATTGTAAAAGACCTTGTTATCTACTTGTTATGCTACACGTTTGTTAATTTTTAAATTAATTAATTTTTTTATTAATTTAAGTTAACAATAAATATGACTGTACAGAACCAGGAATCTTCACATTTCAGTGATTAATAAGCAAGATTAAGTTCAGCCAAGTTTCCCTTACTGCTTTTTCATAATAAATTAATTGTATTAAGTCTGCCACAGCCCTGATCCTTTTGAACCAGTCCATTCTTGATGGTGGATCCTTCCATGAGGTTGCAATATATATCCCTGCCAGTTACCAAACACTGTGTCATCCTACAACACTTGGCTTCAGAAAATTCCTAACAACAATGTTATAAGTTCCACTGGTAACTCATATCCCATGACACATTTGACCAGTTCAAGATTCTAACTATCACTTGTTGTTGTTGTTCAGTCGCACAGTCGAGTCCAACTCTTCGCGACCCCATGGACCAGATCACGCCAGGCCTTCCGGTCTTCCGCTGTCCTCTGAAGTTTGCTCAACTTCATGTTCGTTGCATCCATGACACTGTCCAACCATCTCATCCTTTGCCGTCCCCGTCTTCTTTGACCTTCAATCTTTCCCAGCATCAGGGTCTTCTCCAGTGAGTGCTCCCTACTCATTTGGTGGCCTTATCACTTACCAAGCCCTTAATGGCATTGGGCCCACATACTTGCAGGACTGCCTCTCCCGCTATGTTCTGCTGTGACAGCTTTGTTCATCAGAACAAAGCCTTCTGAAGTTGCTACCCTGCAATGAGGTAAAATCAGCAACTACCTTTCACACATTCTCTGTGGTGGGTCCAACATTATGGAACAGCCTGCCTGAGGCTATTAGAAAGGCCCCCATATTTCTAGATTTTGCAAAATGTGCAAAACAGAATAATTATGGAGGGTTTTCTTGTACAGAGAGAAGAGCTGTGATTTAATGGATCAATTTGGGAGATGACGGCTACTAGAGATACCAAGCAGG